AAACCAGGCCTGGTTTTGGGTACTGCAGCTGGTTTCTGATGGTAGGTCTACACTAAGTAAAACCCTAGGGCAGGCCTATGCCAGCTGAGTCCGGGTACTGGGCTGTTTCATGGCTGTCTAGATGTTCAGGCTCAGGTTACAGTCCAAGCTCTGGGAACTCTCCCATCTCATTAGATCCCAGATCCTTGACTGCAGCCTGAGCCCCTACGAGAGACACTTGGCGTTTGTGAGCAGAGCTGTGGCTGTCATGCAGACAAAGCTGCAGGCACATGTTATACATGTGGCACTAGATATTGAGGTTTTGAAAAACAGGCACATCGTGGCAATCCCACAGTAATCACATCCGTAATAATCAAATGCTAATGAGTTATGATGAAGGATCAGGATTAGACTTGCAGTTACAACGCAGCAATGCATAGTACTGTGAGATGAGAAGAGAATGCAGACCTAAATTAATACATCGCAGTGCTTCACATCTCCATCTGCAGGCTCATTTAACTGCACATCCACTAATGTGATCTATGCCATGAAATGCCAGCAATGCCCCACTGCCATGTGTATTGGCCAAACTGGACAGTGTCTTTGAGAGAGAATTCATGGACGCAAATCAGATATCCGAAAAGGCAACACACAGAAACCTATTGCAGAACACTTTAATCCGCCTGGACACTCATTAATGAATCTCCACGTCACCGTGTTGTTTCAGGCCAATTCCACAAACCAAATACACAGGGAAGGATTGGCACTTAACTTCATTCACTAGTTTAATTCTTAAGAAAATGGAATTGATTGGCTAGCACACTACCTTCCACATCCTAATGACTTAACCAACCAACCAAGGGCGGTGCTAATTGTTCTTATCAGCCTTTTGTAACTACTTGAACCATCTACTCACTGTCTCTCTCTCCCCCCACCTTCGCTTTTTTTCTTCTTCCCTTCCCCCTCCCCTTATTTATTCTTGGATCTAGACTTCTAATACTCCAGTCCTTTGAAGAAGTGGGTTTTGAGCACAAAAGCTCATGATACCATCTACATGTTTTGTTAGTCTTTAAGGTGCTACTGGACTTTTGTTGTTTTTAAAGTTTTTCCTGTTACAGACTAACTCGGCTACCCCTCTTGGCACCTCATCAGTCCCTTAAGACTACATCAAATCAACACCAATAAATACTCGATATCAGGATAAATACAATAGCATCAAAGAGAGGCAAGGGGAGACTGGCAACACTGTTATACAGACATGAGATACATTTTAAGCATAAAGATGTTCAAGAGTTAACACAGTCATAACCCTTACAGTGATGTGTAGAATGGCTTTGTTGCCTTACCAATTCCTGATGGTTATTTGCCAGATCGGTTTTGTAACCGTATGGAGTGAGAATGTACTGCCCATAAGAGTGAATAGTCAAGAAGCACAAAACATCACTTTTCCTTTCCTCTATAAATCTGGCCACAGCTTTAGTCTCGGGTTCTGATTCTGGTGCCATTCCACAGAAAGTGAGGCTGCTGCAGTTCTGAGATGCGCCAATATCTGTACAGGAATTAGAAAACAAAGCTGAGCTGAGATGATCACAAAACCCAATTTTGAGAGGATGGTGGCATTTCCATTATCGTCTGGCAATGAGGGACTAGATGGCTCAAAGGGGTCTGGTAACATTGTGTCTCCTGCGTTCACACCCCACACACTAGTCTAATAATCTTGGTACAAAATATGCCTTCAGAAGCATCATTTGAAAAGGAGTAACTAACAGGTCAATAATAGCATGGTGAAATGTGTATAGCAACTAAGCTATGAAATTCCTCTCTCCCCCCTCCCCCCCCAGGATATTAAAGGGACATGTTCAAACTCACATAGCTCCGATTAAGTAGAACTGGTTGAGTGAGCCTGTCTTAAACAAAGGGATGCATATTTGCCTCAATTTGCATATAAGTTATAAACTGAGTACTCAGGCAGCGAGGGGGGAGAAAGACAAAGAAAATCTGTATTCAGTATATACAGCTGAAAAAACAGTATGAAGCCTCTTCCCTCTACCAGACTCCATGTCTCCTTGCTCTTGGCTGGAAAGTACTTTAACCAGGGGTCATGCTCAGAAAAATGCTTTTCAAATGGTGATTGAACTATAAAAATGAGATGTAAGAACACACAAATTCTCTCTTCACTCACCATCTCTTTTCACCTAAGACAACAAGAGAAACAGCCATTGCATGTTGGGAATAGATCCTGGCCAGAGAATTTGGTTAGCAAAGTTACAGGGAACACAGGGTATGGAACTTCACCTTGAATCAAGGCTAGTTTGTGAAGTTTAGAAAGTGTTCTCATTTTATTTTCCCTGTAACCATTTCTGAGTTCAATAGCTTGTAATTGTACTCAATTAAAATCCCTCTCTTTGTAGTTAAAAAAACATGTTTTTGTTCTTTAATCAAAAAGTCTCAGGCAATCTGTCACCCAGAGAAGTAGTTTTCTCAGGTTAGCATTAATAGCCTCTGGGTTGAGGTGTAGAGAAGTTTGCACTCCCACCTGTTGGGGAATAAATAGTTTTATATTCAATTATGTCAGTTTGGCTCCTTTTACAAGAATTGCATTCCTTTCAAAGTGAGATCACTGAACTTTGGATATACATTAAAATGAGTGCTGGTAGAAAATATTTTTATCACAACCGTTTTTCAACAGAAAATTGGATTTTTGAAAAATGTTTTTTTAAAAATGTCAATTTTAAATGGAAAAAATCCATTTAAAAATGAATGTGTCTACATTTTTTTTGTATTCCAACCAATAAAAATTAATTTAAATATTGAAATATTTCAATATGGATATGCCATTGTGGTATCTCATGGGAGCTGTAGTTTGGTTACTCCTGTCCCCATACTCCTCTATGAGCCAGCTCCTGAGCCACACTCCTTTTCCCATGATACCCTGTGTCCCAGGGATGCTCCATCTCTCCTAACCAAGAAGGGACATCATATTTCATTATGAATGGTATAGTCTAACTATAGAACCCAGCCCACAGAGACGAATGAGAACATGAGGTACATGACCTACAACTCCCATGTGGCACCATGGCAGCATACCTGGATTAAACTATTTTGTTTATATATAAAAATATTTCAGTTTTTGAAAAACTGAACAAAAAGATGAATTTCTCAGAGAGGAAATAATTTTCTCAAACATTAACTCATTCATTTTTACTAAAAATGCCCCAATACTATAATGTGAATGGAATTTAAATTATTGTAAAGCTTGGATTGATGAGAGGGGCGAAAGAAGGAATTGCTCTCTCTTTTCAGATCTTTCCTTATAATTCCAATTCAAGAAGTCAGTGATCCTGTGGAATTTTTATTTGAGTTCAGCGTTTCCCAGCAGTAATGAGAAGACCCCCCTAAAGTCAAGCACAGAAGAGGAAATGAAGGAGAATCTGTTAAAAGAGGTCTCTGAATCTGACACAGCCTATCTTTTCTCCAGAGCCATTTTCCACTTATATAAGGGCAATTATTTATGTTTGCTGCTATAATTTACCATAAGAACAAACATTAGCATTTAGATAACAGACTACTATTACTGTCTGCAACTAATATTTGTATCTGCATAGAACTGGAGGCATAGTTATTAAGGAAGCAAAATTATGTTTGTGTTTGCAAAAACAAATGCCAGGCTGAGGCCATTGAAAATCAGGATCTTAATATTTTTGCAAATGAGATTTCTATTTATAAGCATCTCTTGAAGAAACAAAAAATGTGTTCCCTTGAAGCCTTTAGAATACAAGATACACACAGCTCAGATGGTAGTCTGTTGCTCTTGCATCTCATACCACGCTATTTAGGCAGGTCTCAACATCTGAAATCCTTGGAACTTACTGCACCAGGAGGCATTGAAGTTACGGTTAAGATCTGTCCCAAAGCAGGTGCCATTTACGTGTGGAGAGCGGGATTTTCTCCACAGACGTTCCTGAGCAGAAATGGTTTCAGTTACATAATAACACCGTGTACAGGGAGGTTAAAGATTTAAGTGCTAAAGCATGTACACCTTTAGTTCCTGTGTGTCTAGTAATACTTGCATTCAATGACGTAACTGTGTGTGGTGCATTTCTAAATATCAGTCATGCCAGGTCATAGAATTCCTTCCCTACATTAATGCAGGGGTCCCAGATTAAAAGACAGACCCAGATTTAGGGTGCACCTTAGTGTCTAAGAATGACTATAATGGAATCCAGGTTGTATCTCAGATTCAATAAACTCAGCTAATTTTTGTTGTCAGCCAATCTCCCCCTTACATTTCAGTTCCATGTCTCCTCCACGCCCCATGCCCCATTTAGTGCCTCTTAATCAGATTAGCAACTGAGTTCAAACTCACATTGTGCAATTCTCCACTGACTGACCAGGGTGAGGGAGTACAAGGAGTGGAGCTTGCCAAACCCTGATGCTGCCCAATCTGGTGACATTGAATTTGGACATCACCAGGCTTAATGCAGACTCAGCTCAGCAGGGAGACAGATGAGCGTCACCAAGATGGATTTACAGGGCCAGATTAGGGTCCCAACAATGTCTTCATGCTGATATAGCGGGGAGAGGGGCAAAATGGGAAATGGCCGTGACTCCGAGACCAGTAATGGAGCTGTCCATTTCTTCTGCTGGTGTTATTGAAGCATAAGTAGGGAGACAAGGAAGTGAGGAGTAAAGATTCCAACATTCTTCTTCCCATGTAGTTAAACTCAAGATTGAGGGGAAAAAACATCCTGGAAGAACTGAACATTTCTGGAGGGTGGAGAGACACCTACCCTCCTGTATACAGAGGTTTCCCTTAGTTCTCTGAAAAAATGCCCACTCCAGCTTCCCTTGGGTCTGGAAGCCCAGTCTAACCCATACGATATGAACTTGCAATTTTCAGCAGCATCCCCTTACAACTGTCTGACCAGGGAGTAGCTTCAGCCTCAGGAGAAATATTGAGTACAACTTCCAGAGAGTCACTGGGGCTGGTCAGTAACAAACCCCTTGATACAGTACTGCAGAGATGTTTGATGCTGACTTCTTCCCAGGAAGTTGGCTAGGAGTTCTAGTCACCTGTCTCCTGGGCAGCATGATGCAACACTTGAACTCTCAAGATGTTTTTGTTGGGGAAAATTGTAGGTGCCAAGTAAAAACCACTAGGTACAGTTTGGCAATAGATTCTCTTGAAAATTTGGAGATATTAATTTACGAGCTGCTGTGGCCCAAGTAAATATTAAAGATTAAAGCTTCCAGACTCAAAGTTGCATTAAGGATAGTGATACAATATGGCACCACTGTCCAAGGCACTCCTATACAGAAATGAAGGATTCTTAAAAGAACAACTGAAGTCCAGACACTGAGGAATAGCAGGCCTTGGCCTCTGTATAACTTTGGTACTAGAAAGATGCAGATTTTTTTCCTTAGAAAAATTACCTTCCATTCCTAGCAAAGAAAGCTGCAAAATTCACATTTGGATATCATTATTGGTTATAAATGGTATAATGGATATAAATACAGTGTACATCTATCTTTATAATCCAGTTACTGGGTTTTTATAACTTACTGTTGTCCAGGAATAGATATAACCGTCGATATTGAGAACTGGCAGGACATAAAAGTCCAGGTTCTGCAGGAAACTTTGTATCTTTGGATCAGTTCTGTAATTTTGTAAAATCTGAGGATAAAGAGTGTAAAAGATTAGCATTAGCTCATCTAGTACAAACCAATCATTGGACATGAATTCATCATGAATTAGCATAGAATGGTTGACCACCCCTTAATGTTTCTTTGGGAAGAGACTCCACTTGCTCAACAAGTATTTCGAGGTATCTGCTACACTTTCAAAGACATTTCAAAAGTGATAATAGATCTGATTACATTTATAATGCACTCTACATTGCCAATATCTTGCATTGTGGTAAAGTGCATAGAAACTGCAGTGAGAGGCAGAAGAGATAAATCCTATACATATGGAACCTCACTGTACAAAATTCTCTAGCTCTTTTCTCTTGGATCAGAAATGGTAAATATTCCAGATTTCCCGGTAGCTTTGTGATGCCCAAAGATCATAACTCCAAGCACACTGAAGTCAATGGCAGGCTTCTCACTGACTTCAATGGACTTTGTATCAGGCCCAAGTTGAGGATGCAATGTGCCAAAAATTTTTGTTTGTTACATCCCAAGCCCTGGTTTGAACTTGGGTCTTCAGAAGTGATAGTGTAAGACACTGGGTCAGAGTATAATCTGTCTCTACAGGGGTAGCTTAACAGTTATTTATAAGTAGTAGAAGAAAATGGAGAAATCCTAGCTATCTGCAATTGTTATATTGACATGGGAAAAAGACTCACTTCTTTCACAAACCACTGGCAAAAGGCAGGTGAGATCCATTCTCTGGCATGAATCCCACAGTCCATCCAAATAATCTTCTTAGCCTTGTTTGATGGCTTAC